AAAAAAAAAAGTGCAAAAAATTAGCCAGGCTTGATGACAGGCGCCTGTAATCCCAGCTACTATTGAGGCTAAGGCATGGGAATCGCTTGAACCTGGAAGACGGAGTGTGCAGTGAACTGAGATGGCGCCATTGCACTCCAACCTGGGGGAAAAAGTGAGATTCTGTCTCCAAAACTAATAATAATAACAATAAATAAATGATAAACATAAATTTAAAAATGTAAAAGTCTACTAAGGGTAGAGGATCCAAATATAGATGTTTGACTCTTTTGTGCCCTCTTCTCTGTTTTATCCTTTTACGCCTTCTTTTTTTTTCCCATTAGGGCAACGGCTTGAGAATCAGCACACCCCAAGATGAGGTGTACCTGCAACCATCTGAAGAACATATTAATGTTTTGTTACTTAAAGAAGAATCATTTACCATACATGGCACACATTTTCCAGTCAGTAGAAAGGAATTTATGACAGTGCTTGCGAGTTTGAAGAGAGTCCTCCTACAAATCACATACAGCTTTGGGATGGATGCCATCTTCAGGTAAAATCAAGAACTGCAGTTCCAACGTTCACACATTCACCTTGGGGCAAAGGTGCAGGAGTCACCCCAGAAGTGATTTGCTGTCTTCAAAGAGCAGATAAAAACGGAGCTCTAGTTTTCTGAAAAGTTTTCCTCTTAAACCTTTACAGTTTTAAATACCAGGAATAAATTTGCCTTGGTTTTTATTATTATTGACAATTCTTTCACAATTCTGTCAGGACGTGTGATCAGAAATGATCCCTATATTGAGCAATGTTATATTGGAAAATAAAGTCTCCTTTATGATGGCTCACAGAGTGGGAAACTAAAAAGATGTAAATTCCAGGGCACCCCTATTTGGAAAATGGTTTTTAAAATATTTTCTTCCAATAGTTGTTAACTAGTTTCTGACTTAATAGTAAGCAGTTTGTAAGAAGAAACGTAAGTATTTTCATTTAAATAACCACCCATCTCACTATAAAACACTTTCAGACTATAACAGCCACATGGTATAAAGGAAAGAATATGAACTTTGGAGCCAAGCTGAGTAGAAATTCAGTAAGCTTTGTTGCTTATTGTATGTATGACCTTTGGCAAGTGATTAGGCCTGGAGGAACCTTTCTTTCCATTGTAAAGTGGTATACGAATGCCTACTTTTCAGGGTCTTTGTTAAAATGATACATCATAATTAGGAAAGTACTCATCACCTAGAACACTCTCAGTTCCTTCTTGTTCTCTTTTTTTTTTTTAATTTATTTTTTTTTTTGAAGAGCCAACTCCCTGACTTGAACCAAATATGCTGGTGTCTGAATGTTGGTAGGCTATGTTTTTTTTTATTTTATTTTTAAAACAATGACATTTTTATCTGACAGAATTTTAACTTCAACTGTGTCTGAATGAGTTCTTTACCCTTCTCCTTTTCTACTCTAATAATAGTAACACAAGATGTCATAGAAACTCCCTTCTAAATCAGGTTAAGTTAGATGTTCAAATGTGACCCCAGTCTGACAACCCAGTATAGCTTTAATGAGAGCAATGTCTCCAATACTGGAGTTTTTATTTCTGACACCACCACCTCCCCACCTCCCTGTCCCCCATCATTTGCCTGTGCTGCCTAGTTTGCCTTTCACTGGTAATATTTCAACTTAGTTTAATCATCATTACCATTTCCCAAAGGAGAGAACTGCAGAATCATAAACAGAACAGTTGCCAAACAATGTACTTCTTTTGCATAGGCAATTCTTTTAGAAGCTGGGTTAAAATGCCATGGAGATAAGAAGCAGCACTTAGGAATTAATTATGTTTTTCCCATTTAGTAAATAGAGGTTGTCATGATGTTTAAACAGTACAAAGAAATGAGTCCTCCAGCTTTCAAAATGAATGACAACCAAATTGACAAAAAAAGTGGCTAGGGGGCTTATTTATTTTTGTCAGCATTGCTGTTCAGGCTAGTTAACACAAAGACATTTCCCCCTGATTTATGTAAGACAGTTTCAGTGTCTACCCATCTTAAAATCACTGGTTTTGTTTGTAGTCTTCTGAGGTTTCAGCATACAGGAGGAATGCATTCACAGTGTGGCTCTGTGAAATGACACAAGAGCTAATCCAAGTAGGTAGCTACTTTCTGTCACCTATATTACCAAAAGCACTGTGGTTCAATAAACAAAAGCCAATGACAGATTCGAAACTCCTAACCACTCAGATGAGCTGAAAGTCGGCATGAATCCGGAGTCAGTCAGTAAGCTTCTTGTTTTATCTTTGATCTACTAGTAGATTGAGTCATATTTGTAAAACATCACTTGAATTGATTTCAACTTGTCTTGCACAGTAGGCTTCCGACTTGGTACACTGTTTGTGTGCAAGCACAAGTAAATCGAAGTGCAACAAAAATTCATATTTAGACTTATTTACGGTGGATTTACTTCTGTGGTAATTCTTTCAGCAAATGGGCTTCCGTTCCACCAGTTATATGGCTAGATGGAATTGTATAATGGAAGGAGAGCTAGGCTGCAGGTCAAGGATTTTGACTTTTGTTTTCAACTCAGCTATTTAATAGTTGTAAACATAAGTATGGCTTTGACCTCTTTGGACTTCAATCACTTCATCTGTAAAACAAGGAGAAGGACAATTGCCCTGCCAACTTCAAAAGGTCACTGTGAGAATTGAATTAGAGAGCTGCAAAAGCACTTGGCTAATGGTAACCCAGCACACAAATATGAAGCATTTCTGTCTTATTTACTTCATCCCAAAGGATCACATTTTCTCCGAATACCATTAAGATTTAGAGACCTCTAGAGAAAGGCACGTACTGGTATTTCCATACATATGATGGTTCTTACTGTCATTTTTTTTTTCCAAAATGCTGAGACCTATTAGATAAAATCAATGTATTTTTTTTCTCACTGTCCTCACTAGGAAGATGAAGGCACAAATAGAAAACTTTTCATGCTTCTTTTAAGAATATAAGAGAAATCAACCTGACTGAACTGCACATCTTTCGCCTTTAAATTCTCCAAACCTTGGATTTAGTAACATCCTTGGTGTTTAAATCAAGCAAGGCTTTTATTAAGTACCTATATGAGATATAGAATTCTGCACAAAGTGTATTTTTTTCCTCTTATTTTACAGTAGACATTAGCAGAGTTTGCCAAATTTTCAATCTCATCCATAGGGGATATTGCTTTTCTCTAACCCTGGAGGATAGATGTGTCATATGACCTGGTTTAGCCAATGAAATGTAGCAGAAATGATATATTTTTCCCCCTGGGGTAAACATTGAATTTCCAATGTGAGACTCTCTCCAGCTTACTTAGCAAACAGAAGATAAAAACAGCCTGGAATACTGATTTGGTATATGGAGGTCAGCTGCCATAACAGTCACCCAGACCTGTAGAGGATTTTACATGAGTCAGCCCTTCTTTTCCTGTTAAGCCACTGAGAATTTGGAGTTGCCATCATAGCACCACCAAGCCCATCATGACTTTATCATGATACCACTCATGAGTGTTGCTTGAAGATAAATACAAAATATTTTCAAGGCAAGATATTTTTATACAACTTTCAGTGTAAATTCTGGGGTTGGGGATCAAAAAAGAGTATACAGAATTTATATAATAAATAATTTAGAAAAATTCTTGTAAACAAAGGAGTCTTTAATAATTATAGAAATAGTATTGCCAGGCACACCGTATACCTCTACCTTCTGAAGTTAATGATTCGGGTAACTACACTTTGAGGACATTTTACTGATAACACTAGGAAATAAAAGGATTTTTGCAGCTCACTTGGAATCCTGCTGTTGGTAAGAGGCGCAGCCAGCATTTTAACCTATGTTTCTTTCCCATTGTCTTTGACTACCTCCCAATGCTATTCCATTAAGTATTGAGTTCATTCAGTCTGCAAATATTTACTGAGCACCTTCCATGGTTATGTCTCTAAATCTCAGTTCCTATTCTATCCAGTGGCAGAAACAATGTCTAAATTTCAAGGTCGGCAATTAAGCGAAAACATAATGTATGCACCTGAAATACTATCTAGAATACATTGGGAGGCAATGGAGGGTAACAAGGAGAACTCTGGTTTTGGAGTCATGCTTGGATTTGAATCTATCCTGCACCCTTTGCTAACGGTATTATGTTGGACAAGGCGCTTTACTCCTCTGAGCCTCAGATTTTTCATTTGTAAATATGAATAGACATGGGATTGTTACATTGTTTATTAATACTTAAATGAAACGTCTTTCCAGCCCGTATCATAGTGCACAGAAGAGAGTAGACAGTAAGTAGTAACTATTAAGAAGCAGTCATTCTAGACTAGGTTGTAAGGATACAAAGGTGGAGCAATAATCATTGAATTCAAAGAAGGCTTGCGCAGTAGAGAAGTCAGATAAACTTATACCTACTGCACATCTATCATAATGTAAATAGTGCAGAGAAGTATACACAGTGCATACTGGTAGAACTAAGAAGGAAGAGATGAATTCTTGTGTTAACATTTAATGCATTTTTAATACAGGGCTGTGAAAGTATCAGATTCCGTCAGCTACTGCTTTTACTTGATGTGGGATTGAAAATATTTAGAGAAAATGTCTTGCTTTTTATATACATACGGTGGGTAGAAAAAAATTATAAGATCATAGGTGTTTTTGTTGTTTTAAAGTATAATGTTTGGTGGTAGTTGTTTTAGTGTAATATAGCATATGTAACCTAGCAGTTAATGTAGTAACACAAAAGGAGTGAGAACAATCGTTAAGGCAACACCAGGACAAGGTTTCCAATATAGTTCCAATATTTTCCACAGTAGCTTGTATAATTATGTGCTCTCTCTTCATCCATCATCTTTTCTGTATTTTCAAGGCATAAAAATAAGAAGGAATAGTCAGCGAAAGCATTTGACTTAGTTGACAACTCTTTGATAGCTCATGCATCTCCAAAATTTAGTACTTTATTACTGCCAACATTATGTATTTAAATGAATGCAGCTTGATATCAAGAAAATGACCATATTGAAGGAAAAAATAAAATAAACTGCAGCCTTCTTCATGAGTAACACTTGAAACTGTTAAACACATTAAAATCCCATTTAACAAATAGCAGAACCTAATGAACATTGGGATTGCTCAGTGAATACTAATGTGGAATATTACTAGGAAAGATGTTTGAGTGCTGAAGTTTCTCATAGTTCAGGATGGTTATACAGATTAAGGAGAGGAACATCTGTTGTTCAAAAGACAAATGAAATTTGTCAGTTCACTGAAAATATTTTTGTTTTTGTATCTTTTTAAAAACTGTTTCTTAGTCTATTGCTCATTCTTCTATTTTGAAATTTCCAGAACTATTTCTTTAAGTTTTGCATATCAATTTTATATCAGAAATTCTGGGACTGTACCTATATATAGTCAATCAATCTCTGCTGTTTGGTAAATTGTGGCGATATATTGTATGATAATCGACTAGTATATCAACCATGAAATCATCTAATTCTGAAATTAAAATGATCGGAATGAAATTAAAATGATTGAAATCAAACTGATAGGTTTATCAGGTAACAGTACATTAATTCCAAGCTGTTAGATGTCACAATACATTCAGGTGATTTCTGGTCTCTGACCTCAAGTTCAAATAACAGTTTCCATTTATTTTCTATGTCAAATCAAACAAGTAATTTGTCTTTTACTTATCTGATTTTATTCATCTGAAATGTGCCTGGTAGGCTTTATTGTATCATTTGTCATGGAGTTTGTTAGTCATGTTTGTAATAGAACTGTTTTCCATTCATCTATTCATTTATTATGTAAGTATTTAATCAATTACTCTTGTATATATCTATCCATCTATCTATCCATCCATCCATCCATCCATCCATCAGTTCACTCATCCAATAAAAGTCTACTGAACATCTATGGAGATGATCATGCTGCATATATAGATGGCAAGACAGGTTTCTGTTGTCAAGGAGTAGCCCATAAGCTCATGCCAACATGAGTACTGTCTTTAGTAACTCTTGCAAACTCTGTTGTGTTAAGGAGACTTACCAGACCCAGAAATTCTATTTCTAGATATATGTCCAAAAAATTGAAAATAGGTAGTATGTGTTCATGAATATGAATAGCAACATTATTTATGATAGCCCAAAGGTAGAAACAGTCCAAATATTCATCAACAGATGAATGAATAAACAAAATGTGGCATGTATATGCAGTGGAATATTAGTCATAAAAAGGAATGAAATATTGATACATACTACAACAAGGAGAACCTCAAAAATATTATGCTAGGCCGGGCATAGTGGCTCATGCCTGTAATCCCAGCACTTTGAGAGGCCAAGCGGGGGGTGGATCACCTGAGGTCAAGAGTTCGAGAACAGCCTGACCAATATGGTGAAGCCCTGTCTCTACTAAAAACACAAAAATTAACTGGGTGTGGTGATGTGTGCCTGCAGTCCCAGCTACTTGGGAGGCTGAGGCAGGAGAATTGCTTGAACCCGGGAGGTGGAGGTTGCAGCGAGCCAAGATCATGCCACTGCATTCCAGCCTGGGTGACAGAGCAACACTCTGTCTCAAAAAACAAACAACAACAACAACAACAACTATATATATATATATATATATATATGCTATAAAAAAAAGTTCATCAACTGTGGTGGTACATGCCTGTAGCCCCCCACCTAGTTGAGAGGCTGAGGCAGGAGGATCACTTGAGCACAGGAGTTTGAGTCTGCAGTGAGCTCTGATCAGGCCATGGCACTCCAGCCTAGAGACTTTGGTCTCTGAACAGCACTCAGAGACTTTGGTCTCTGAACAGAAAGCAAACAAAAAAACCCAGTATGTTAAGTGAAAGTGACCAGACATAAAGGTCACATACTGCATAATTACACTAATGTGAAATATCTAGTATAGGTAACTTCATGGCCACAAAAGCACGTTGTTAGCTTACAGGGATTACAGAAGAAGGAAAATAGAGAATGACTACCTAATGGATTCTGGATTTTCTTTTGGGCTGATAAAATGTGTTAGAATTAGATAGATGTGGTAGTTGCACAACATTGTGAATGTACTAAATGACAGAACTGTACAATTTATTTTATAAATTTTAAATAGATATGAAAATTTTCATCCTACCCCAAATGTCAAAATTCCTCTCTATGTACAATTTAAAACGTTAATTTTATGTGATGTGAATTTCACCTGAAATAATGACAAGAAAAAGAAATGCCTGTGATACTGCATTTTTCATTGACAAGGTTCGTTGGTGCAGGGCGAAAAGGAGCATTTAATGATTTTCAAATGACACATGTAACCTAAACACTGTAGAATAGTAATATTTGCCTAATCTAGGGCCTTCTACCAGGTTGCCCCTAGAGAAGACACCACTCAGTTAATAGTGTTGGATGAGTTTATCTACAGGTAAAGATAATTCACTCGTCTCTAGAGGGTGCCATCGAGCACTCAGCAGCTAGGATGATTCCATCCAAATGCCTATTTTTGGTGATTTCAGGGTTAATTTCCTTTTCTGCTTCCTGATTGTACGCGAACTCATACATATTCAAAAGTACTGTCAAGTGTCTAGGATTAGCGAAGTGGGGGTAAGGGCAATGTTTTTTTAGAAATCTATTGCTGAAAAGCTTACAATTTGGATAAAGATCATCACTTTTGAAGATACGTTTACACCTTGTAATGAGCCTTTTAGCTTTGCTCTCTGGCTTGATTTCCAAATTCCCAGCATTGATTGCCAAATCTAGCAAGTTATTTGGTAAGTGTGAATCACTGATCAATAAAAATCTACAATCACTCCTGAGAAAGGAACTGAAAATGCAGGCTGTAGCAAGAATCAGTTGCATCTTTCTTATGGTTACAAGATGCCATGTCATATGCTATCAAATGTCTACCAGTAAACTTTAAAACTGTAATTATTATGAATCAATCGTACTCATTTAATTATGTGTTCTTGGAGTTTATTTAAAATTTATTTTCATACACTAAAATGACATGGAGATACAAATAGTAAAAAGTGTATTGCTTGTACTGTTCATGTAGTCATTTTTATTTGACTTCAACAGTCAATGAAAATAGATTAATAAAATGCCTAGTATTTCATAATAACCTACTATGTGTTACACACTGTACCAAGAACTTTATATTTCTTTTTCCTTTTATATCAGTCTCATGATGTGTGGACTATTATCTCCATTGCATTGAAGAAAAAATTGAGGCCTAGAAAGAATAAGTTACTTTCTTCTAGGCCTCAAGGCTGATAAATATCAGAGACAGGATATGAATCGTGGTCTGTTAGACTCACAAAACTGTATTCTTAACAATTAAGCTTTTAAAATGTCTTTTTACACAAAAATAGGAAAAACAAATAAGATACCAATAACATTTATTTAAATTGTGAATGCATAATAAGAAAAGAAATATGTGTGTGACAGCATTTTTTCCAGTTTTCCATTTGGCCAAGCCAGCTTTTCTCTAAAATAATGAGTTATGCTAAATCACTCTGCTAAAATTACCAGATTGTACAAAAGTACCAATAAAATGAAGGTCATAGATACAGAGAACAATGGATTTAATTTAGGCCAAAAACAAATTGCAGAGATCATTCTAAGTAAGTCAACTGAACATTTTGAGACAGTTTAGCTTGTACCGACTACAAACATGCAGCTTCATCTCTAAGAAAAGCAAAAACAAAATCGTTTTCATCTTTTCTTTCAATTTAAAAGCTGAGATGGAATATTAATATTGTCTACTTCTGCTTTCCTTATTTAAGCGCTAAAAGAAATCAAGCAGTCATTGGAATGTTTTCCGTTTTAAAAATCCCTTTATGATTTAAAAAGTGTCCATCTGTCTCCACAAAAATGAAAATCCGAACACATAGCCAAGAGCCAAAGGATGAGGAAGAACATTCTCATATCTGTTCAGCATTTGGGGGTGGTGGCTATTTTCAGCATTTTAGACTGAGCCAACTTGACCTAGTATGACAAATGACCAGAGCTTTTGGCTATGGTGTTCATCAGCCTTCTTTCTCAGCATACGTAATTAGCTTATATTTATGTCATTGTCACTGTCTGATTCCTACAGTTGTGTAATACCTAAGAACTCTACTTTTTCACCATCCACCATCTCTTTTCTCCTCTGCCCTAGGTTGAGCTCTGTTAACCTTGAATCCGCTGTCTCCTATCCTACTGATGGAAGCGTTGCGGCAGCTGTAGAAGTGTGTCAGTGCCCACCAGGTTATACTGGCTCCTCGTGTGAAGTAAGCTTGCAAGAATATATCCTCAGTGAATTTGAAGTTCCCTCAACATTTTTTTCAATAAGCTATTCTAAGGAGAGCTGTTTATTTCTATCAATAATCACACAAATAATGTGTATCATTTAAAAAAGAAACTTGAATATCTACCAAAAGTCATGGCTTTCAATTAGAGTATTAACCGTGCAATTTCACCTTGTAACTGTTTCTCTCTGAGATATTTTGCCAATAGCTGAAAATCTGATGTTTCTGTCTTAGTTGCCTATTTGATCTATTGTATGCTAGATGGTAGCAGAGTAACAGTTCAAAATGTTTTTCTCTTCATTTTCATCATAATGATTACCAAATATTTAATGCTTTTCTTTTACATTTCTCTCATTTTTTAATCCTATGTATTACACTTTTCCTCTGCTACATTTCTAAGAATACAACCAAATTGCAATCATCTGAAGCATACAATCTTCAGAATGTCAAGAACATAATATGTGGAAAAAATGCCTTGATACGGAAAACTGCCTACAGTTCTTTGATTTATTTAGCACCTAATGTTTGAGATATTTATTGTTGTCTCAATATCCTAGATTTATAATAAGATTAATGGTTCTTACTTAATACCACAGTCTGTCGTCTTAAGGTAACAATTTTTATTTATTTCTATGTATTTTCTTTTAGATTGTATGAAAATTGGCCCTACTTGAAAACTGGTCAAAAAATGGGAACACTATTTCCTTGACAGAGGGCATGGCTTGCAGATAAATAGGAGCTTAGTTTCGTTAAAGTGGTGCCTTTAAGGAATCATTTGAGTGTACTGAGATGCTCTGCTTCAGATCACTACCTCACCATGCCATTTATAGAAATACTCTAGGCATTTCTTTGCCAGTTCTCTTGTACTTTTAAAATAATGCACACATCTAGAGATATGCAGTCATATTCATGACAGTGTTTCCTTTAACTGAGCTCAGATTCGCCTTTCTAGAAATAAAACTAGATATAACTTATAGAAGTACTTGCTGTTCCAAAATTCACGTAGATAAGAGAAAAATAATTACAGATACCAATTAGCTGTGTCAACCCAAATTTGATTTTACATATAAAATATACACTATATTTGATGAAACAAGAGCCTTTCACTCTTGATTCCAACCAGACTGCTCTAGTTGAACCTTTAAGATTCTCTTGCAATTAGAACACTAAATAATTAATTCTACTCTTAATGCTTGTTTCCACATACATTATTCTCATCCTTTGCATAATCTTTTATACAAGTTGTAAATGCCCACTGAATATCAAATGACTTGAATATTAGAATTGTTTAATTGGCTATACTTTTAGTCTCTTTCTTCTCTCCTTCAAAAATATTTTTGATACATTCTAGATATGTTTGATAAATTCTGTAAATTTACCTGTATACAATACCAATAAGTACACACGACATAATCCTTGTCCTTAAGGAGCTAACAATCCGCTTAGGGACACAGTAAATACCTATAAAAAATGAGATCTCAGCACTGTATAATTAAGGGACTAGTATGTGCTACAGAACATACATGCAGTAATCACGACTGCAGTGGAGAGAGATGAAAGTATCCTGGAGTGGAGAAATCTGAAATTAGATGCTAAATAATGGTAACAGAGAGAGAGGAAGAAGCATGCAAGTGTGAAAAAAACAACACAGAGAGTGATAATAATACCTTCCTGTGTGTGTCACACAATAATCTTTTGATAAATAAAGTTACTTTGTAGCCCATAAACTAATTTAATTAACTCAGCAGACAATGAATTCTGGAATTTTGGGTTTTCTCTCTGACTGCTTCATTTCTTCTACTCTCTACTTCTTTTCTCTTTATCAAAACTTCCTATCCCTAAATTCGCTGTTATCCAGTCCTGTCCTTTCGTTATTCCATTTGCTTTTTAATTAAGTGTAGTTCATAAGGTCAGTCACTCTGGCACTGTTATCACTAATACCCTGGGATCCCTTAAAAGCTGAGTAAATGCCAAAGACCATTAATGTCTTAATTCCATCTTGCTGAGAACCTCTAGCTAAAAACAGATCAAATGACTCTGTTGCAAACATTCTTTTTTACTTCATTTGGGGTCCACAGTGTTGATTCAGAATATTTCTTCTCATTTCTACTTGACTTCCTATAAGGTGCTATACAGTTAAATCTTCCAAAAATTTTCTTACTTTCATAGCAGTGTCCATTCATTTCACTTGACAGATGAGACAGGTGGGATACTAAAAAAAGAGTTTTCAGCAATGTCGGTTTCTTCATCTATGTAATGGAAATAATATTAACCACCTCATGGAAGTGTTTGTTCATACTTTCATTTCACTGACTACTATTTAATGAGCATATATTTTGAGACAAACAGGATCCTACACATGGAAAATAGTGTGATTAACAATCCAGATATTGTCCCTGTCCTCAAGGATGTTGTACTGAGTGGTAGCATTAACAATATGCCAGAAAGCAAATATAAATAGATGTGACAAAAGCTATGAAGGAAATAAACAGTGTGAAATAAACAGGGTTCTATGATAAAGTTACTGCAAGTGGTTGTGTGAAGGATAGAAAGTCTACTTTGTAAAAGTTTGTCAGCAAATGCTTTCTGAGGTGGTGACAGCTAAATTGAGTGTTGAAGAATGAGAGCGACAACAATGTAAAATGAGCTGCTAAGAAAGCAGCGTAGAGCTTGGAGTGTGTAAGGACTGGAAAGAAGGCAAATATGGCTGGAGCTTTGTAAGCAAGGGGAAAAGTGGGACAAGATGTGATTGGAAAACCAGGCCATTCGGAGCTTTGCATACATGATAAGAACTGAGCATTTTATTCTCATGCCATGGAACATTAGCAGAGTAGTGGACTAGTGTAACGATGTGATTTATATTTTTGGGTTGTGGGATGCTTTCTGTTTTTTGAGACAGGGTCTTTCTCTGTCACCCAGGCTAGAGTACAGTGATATTGTCATGGCTCATTGCAGCCTCAGATTCCTTGGCTCAAGTGATCCTCCTGCCTCAGCCTTCTGAGTGGCTGGGACTACGGGTGTATATCACCATGCTCAGCTATTTTTGTTTTAGTAGAGATAAGATCTCACTATGTTGCTTGGGCTGGCCTTGAACTCCTGAGCTCAAGAATCCTCCCACTTCAACCTCCGAAAGTTCTAGGGTTATAGGCATGAGCCACCACACCCAGCCTGAGTTACAGTTGTTTGAAGAAGGCATTATGGCTACAGTAGGAAGAACATGTCTTAGGAGGACATGAATGATAGCAAGGAGAAGGGTTAACATACGGTTGCAGTGGAACACAGCAATGATAGTGATTGGTGTTAAGATGATGACAGGCATATAAAAAGACTTAGCATAATCTATGTATGTGTTGGTAGTACAACCAATAGGACTTACAGTTACAAGACTGTATGTTGAGGGAGAGATTAAAGAAATAAAGAGTTTAAGAATGAGTCATAGATGACCAGTTGGAGCGATTGATCAGTTGGTTGTGGGTCATTTACTGAGCTGAGGAACACTGAGAGGAATAGTTAGTGCGAGTGGGGTGTATGGAATCCATAGTCCAGTTTAAAAATTTTAGGCTTAAAAAGGCTGTGAAGTGTAAATGCCAATGTGTATTTATAATATTCAGATCTTAAACTCAGCATGTCTCTCTGGTCTAGAGATACGTTTTTGGAAGGCATCCTAAACTATGGGACTGAATAAAATTACCCAGGAGAAGGTGTAATTGATTTGAAAACAAAAACAAAAACAAAAAAGAAAAATACTCAAGACCAAGCCCTGAGCAGCTCCTAACATTAAGAAGCAGGGTCAAAGCAGAGGAAACAGCAAAGAAATAGGGGAGGAAATTTGGGCAGTCTGATGTCATGGAAGTAGAGAAAAAAATTGTGAGAGGAAAAGGAGTCAGCTAGCCCCAAGGTTGTTGAAAGGTCAGATAAAACACAACTGTGGAATTGTCTATCTAATTTGGCTGCTTGGAGTTTGGTGACAAGGACAAAAGCAGTTTTAATTGAGAGGTGGTGACACAAAACAGATTAGAATGGAATTAAGTGTGAAAAAAAGGTGAGGAATATACTTGTTAAGAGTAGTGTTACCGAAAAGAAAAACACAGATGACTAGAAAAGTTACAGGATGTTAAGAGGACAGTTTTGTTATTTTTGGTTTGTTAATTTTTGAGGGAGACACTAGAACATATCTTTCTGAGCTGACGGTAATGACCCAGCAGAAAAGAAAGTTATTACTAATGTATCAGAGAGAGTGAACACTGAGAAGACAACAGATGCTGGAATCAGATGACAAGTGGAGTAATATTCCTTTAGGAAGAAGGACCCGCAGGCCCCACATCACTTATTTGAAAAGGGAATATGGCAACACTGTTTGGAGATAAATGCTTAGCTCCCTGGGCTTGTTGGTGCAAAGATGGCTTTAATTTTTTCTGTGAGTATTGAGATAAAATCACTGGCTAAAAGAGAGGTGTAAGGAGTTGGGAAGTTTGGAGAAAGAAGACGTGATATGAGCAGTGCATTTGCAGAACATTAAAACAAACTTATTAAGGAAACTTCATGAATATGTCTGAAAACAGTAGATTAATTCTCTTCCTTTTCTCAACATCCTTAATTTTTGCCACCTTATGAATATGTAGCTTCACCAGCTTTTTTTTTTTTTTTTTTTTTTTTTTTTT